ATTATATATTAAAAATATTCATATATACATACAACACTACACTCTTGGCTATTACACTTAATATTTTAAATAACAACCATTTTAAATTTGTGCTAGATGGTGATTTAAATCACAAACAGAAACAAGTCTGAACTTATTAAATGTCCAGTATCAGCTGACATATAATAGAACAAATACTACTAATAAAACAGTTATCATCAACATTGTGCCAATATACACTTCTCAGTCACAGGCAACCTAATAAATATAAACAGAAAAATAGAAATAGAAATGTAAATAGAAATATCATTCTCTAACCACGGTGTGGGTCTATCAAGAGCTCATGGAATGTTAGATTATCAAAGTTTAGTGTCAGTCATCAAACACACATATTTTCCCAAGAAATAAAAAGAGAAAGAAAGGAAAAGCTATTTCAGGTTCAAAGAAGATTTTGTTTTATTCATTTGGGGATGATTCATTGGGTATGGAGGGAAAAAGACAAAGAGAGAGAGAGAGAGAGAGAGAGAGAGAGTGAGAAATGCTGTGTGGTTGTATGGGTTTTGCAACAAGAACTAATTCTCTCCTATTTACTCCTTCCCTCTACATCCCTTAAGCAAATTCAGTCAATGCTGTTTTATCAGATGCCAATTTGCATGATGGCAACAAGCCACAACAGACTTGCAGCTGCACCACACACACACACACACACACACACAGAGAGAGAGAGAGAGAGAGAGAGAGAGAGAGAAATAGCCTACACTACCTTTAAAACCCCATACAAAAACACAAATATACACACTTTACACACAAAATGTCACAACGAATGACTTGCACTCCAGCAAATCACACGTTTGCACACAAATTAATGCTTTTCTCTCTCACACACACCCCGATTCACACCCCCTCCGCACCTTCTCGTCATAATTAAAACAGGAGGTGTCTCCACAATGCTCTTTTGTCTTATTGCAGCACATTGAGAGAAAGGAGTCCGGTGGCTGCATATTAATGAGGCAGGGTGTCCGTGGATGGGCTGCATGAGCAGAGCCGAGGAAAAAAAACACTGCTAGCCTACTATTTTCCTCCTCCTATGCTTGTGGAAGGATACATCATGTGCCAACACACCTCTGGCCACTCCGGCTGCCAGCGGTGGGGAAATGAGCACTATGCATTGAGAGACTGTGTAAGAGGTATACCTAGGATGCTAGTGTGAAATTCAGTGAATAGCTGAATGATTATGTGGCCTATTCAAGCCACTAGGTGGAGCTGAGTGAGCTTTGAGACGGAGCTGGGGCTTGGTTGTCTACAGTACCTGACTGAGCTTCACCGATGTTTAGTTGCTATACTAAACACTATCTACAGATACATGCCTTGGTCTCTGATTTAAATATAGTACAAACCTATGTATGCATGCAAGTAGTAAGTTATACATATGTTCAAGTAAAAATTTATTTTGTTACATATAATAAATTAATCATTCATAAATATCATAACTTTTTTGGGTGTCACACCACATGACATTTTACAGCCTGGATTTTACATCAGAAAATCATAGAAAAGGTGTATTAGAAAAGGTGAATTCAAGTCATTATATGTATGAATTGCATTTTCTTACATCTATTAAAATTATATTTAAAATTAACATATTTTAATAAATGAATAGATCCAGACAAAAAACTCCTTCACTCCTTCACTCCTTCGAAGAAACACACCTCCAACAATACTGCACAATCAAAAATTCTTTCTCCAACAGACATGAAGGCAATGAGCGCATGTTTGCAAGCACCAAATCACACACACAAACACGCCATTCCACAATGCCGTGAAATTGTTTCTTTTTAGCTTTTAAGCGGTCAAAGGGAAACACACACACAAACACTTGCAAGCATACTTCCAGTGTTGCCATGCACCTCTCTCACACACACTTTCTCACACAGCTACTTCCTGAGGAGGCATTTTTAAAGCTGAGAGGTTGGATGTCTATCTTTGGCTCTCAGTTCTAAGCGCCCTGTGTGAGTGTGTGAGGGGCCTGTATATGAGCAAACTGCCGCCTACTCCGGCCATGACCCACAATTCCTCACAATGCCCCCATTCTCTGGACTGAAAGGCTCTATCAGCAGCAGGGGCCAGCTCTCTGGAGGGGATATGACGCCTCCCAGGATGGCATACAGAGACGGGCATCGCTGCCAGGAAACCATGGGCCTGGCGGAAAGAGCCAGCAAAGGCGATGATGAGAGAAAGAGAGAGTGAGAGCTGAGAGGGCAAGCAGAGAGATAGAAGGATATGCTTGCCAAGAGATGCCAAGTGTTTTGTATATGCCAGTGCCACTCAAGCCTCATTAGCCTGACTCTTTGTGCCACACTGTTCTCTGCTGTGAAGGGATGTGCAACTCGCTAGTCCTGACAGGAGCATCAGATACTGGGTTTGTGTCAGTCAGTCTGGAACTAGACGTGAAAGTGAGATCGGAATATTGCTGCCGCTAAATTTAGTACTAACTATAAAAATATTTCTATCAGGCAAAATTAAAGACCAGTGTTAAATTTTAGTATTTTTTTTTTATATATATAAAAAAATTCTCAGTCGTATTGTATTTGAACATGCAAGCACTAGTGTTAATGTTTGTGTTATTTAAAAAATACAAATAAATTGTCAGGCAAATTTTGTCTGGCCATTTAAGAACTAATATTAATATTTAGTGCTATTTTTAAAATATAAAAAACAGTTCTGTCAGGCAAAATTTATTGTACCATTCAAGCACTAGTGCATTCAAGCATTTAGTGTTAAAAACAAAACAAAAATCGAGCAGAATTCTATTAAGCACATTTTATTGGACAATTCAAATATTGATTATTGTGAAATATACTACAGCAGGTATAAGCATGATTTTAAGGCAAAATAATAATTTATGAAAGGAGATTTGTAACTAGGAACATTGCAAACTGCTGATAAAAATGCTATTAAAAACATTTTTAAATGATTAAAATTGAAAAACAGCATTGCTGGACTGCAACAAGGATACTTGTATGTGGTCTTTTAAATCCATGGCCGTTTCTTTTAAACTAAAACAAAACGTGCATGTTGCTATTGTAAAAAAAAAAAAAAAGAATCTCAGAGTTTTTAGCTCCTTATTTTCAGGACGCATTTCTGCAAAAGTCTCCTGTAAGCAAACAACCCTGGTGGTTGGCCATGAGCACACACACACACACACACATCCCAGTGAAAATCTTTATTTGAAAAGGTACAGGCCAGCCTTATCAAAGAGCCCAGGGGCCGTTAGGGGCATTGAAGGGGTAGGACAGCCTGGCAGGGGGTATAGAGGGGGTCCAGGTGGGGCATTAATCTTGGGGAGGATTAATCTAATAATCTAGTGATCCAATGATGAATCAAACTTCAGAGCTTGGTGTGATTCTCTGCGGCTCCAATTAACTCCAAGGGAGGGAGAGGCTGATGGACAAGTCTATTATTGGCATTTGAGAGACACTGTGAAAACGGAAAGAAATCAAAGGAAAAGTGTTCTGGAGAATTACGCCCACACAGAGTGAATACACAGAACATGCATGACTGGCTCAATTGTGCCCTTTTAACATTTTCCTTCCAAACCCCAAATCGCTAGGATATATATTGCAAAAGATGTCGTTTGCGACACCATGGTGGGGAGCAGTTTATGTGCCTTCGTCAATCCCAAAGCAAGCATTCACGATTACATGAAAAACACAAATGGGCAGTTAAAAAAAGATTTGGGATTCAAGATTAATTCAACTGAATTACATTTACAGTCCTTTTGAACTATTTCTGCCTTTGATAAAGCCATTACATGTGCACATAGATTAAAATGCTTTCTTTTAACATGAATCAAGCTAGTTTGTTGTCTAAATCTATTTGTCCCTGACTTTCGCTTGCTCAGCACATACAAGAATTGTGGGAAATCCAGCTGGTCTTTTATTATAATTTAATGAAACAAGCTATGCTGAGTTACACAAACTGGCATAATGGCAACTCTGGATCATATTTTTAAACTCTATCAACAATAATCATATACTGAAAAACAAAAATATTCAACAAGCTAATAAATCCAGAAAATACTGAAAAAATAAAGTTCCTTATGCCTGTAAGTCACTGGACCAACTGAACCTAAACAGTTTTACATAAGAATTTATATTTCTAAAATGGGCTGCTTACATAACATTGCATGGCTGACACTGACCTGTTGTTGAAGAGCAGGCCATCAGCCTATAGAGCCAAATGTTAGAGGAGAGGACCCTGACCTCTGACCCCCGGCTAATTGGAGGCTTGACCCTGTTTGGCAAGGTCACAAGGATAGAGGGCGTGTTTACGGAGGGATATGCCCCGAGGGCTTACCCCAGGGACCCCTCCTTATGTTTCACATCCACCTTATGACTGATTAAGGATATGTCCATCCCACTGTGAGGTTAAACCAACATTCATACATCAGTTCATTCATCACTGCCCTAAAGCTATTCATGTGAATCAGCTATGGTATATAATGAATTTCCCTGCTCAAACTAACATCACCATAATTTGATAATGATCACAAACAATAAATCTTTGTATGCTACAGAAAAACTTTTTTAACCCAAAATACAAAAAATTTTATTGATGCTTTTCACAGTGAAAAGACATGTTTTAATGGACCAACATTTCAGATTAAGGTTTTTATTTTCATTAAAATGCATCCCCTCTGCTTGCCATGTAATTAAAAATAAATAATCCAAATTTTTTGTTTCTTTGTTTTTCTCAGAATAGTTTATGAAGCCTTTCTATCTTTCTTTCTGCCTGACACACACGGTAAAAATGTCTTGTTTTCATCTAAGCTATTCATTTTTATCGAGTTTTCAGATTTTTAAATCAGTTTTCATCATCAGTAGGCTAATGAATGTCAAAATGTTTGAAAATTGATTTTTATTTTATTTATTAAAATATTTTATATATAAAATATATTTAATATTGTATAATATTTATTTATGTTATATACGTTTTCACCACCAGGATTTGTTTTGTTTTAACGTTAATTGGCGAAAAATGTAAAATGGCGTCTGTCGAATAAGGTAGGCTACTACTGTATTTTTGACGAACGGGAGTTGTGATGGGAAAATGATGAGTTTTCTCTATGATCAGTCGGATACAGTAAATATTTAATGGTGAGTCTTCATGATCCTGGGATGTGTTATGCCAGTGGCACGCTGTATATAATCCCTAAACTTGTTATTTGGGCCTCTTGTGAGCTCTCCGCTCCCAGCTACCAGTGAACAGCTCTGCTTCTGATTCTTTTCACTAGTACAAGGGATGAGAAAAACTAAATGCCATTGGCAGTTGTTTGTTTATGGTTTCCCACAACTCCATGCCAATTACTTTCGTCCCTTTGTCAGTCGCTTGTCGTCTCTCATTAGCCAACCTTCGGTTGACATGAAACCCGGAAAAAGTGTATAGGCCAGGCGAGGCGAGGCGAGGCGAGCCCACGCTCAAGCGTTGTGGATCATCTAGCGATCCTCACTTCCCTGGCAAATGTTCCTCTTGCTGTGAAATACAGCTTTTGCTACTCATGCTTCACTATAGCCCAGGGATCCTCAAATTTGGCCCACAAGATCCACTTTCCTGCAGAGTTTAGCTCTAACCCTAATCAAACACGCCAGAGCACGCTGATCAGTGTCTTCAGGATCATTAGAAAATCACAGCTAGGTGAGTTTGATCAGGGTTGGAGCTAAACTCTGCAGCGCATTGGCCCTCCAGGGCAAGATTTGAGGAACCCTGCTATAGCCTATACCTCGTTCCGCTCCAGGCCTTTGACGCTATATAGCTCTAAAACTATAGGCTATGCTACTTTGCAGCACCATAGACTTTTTAATTTCTAAAGATCCACATTCGTAGTTCTTTTCTATGATACTAGGCTACATACGCGGTTTTCTAAATAACTCGAGAATAAAAAAAAGTTGTTAAGTTATCATCAGATTGTAAAAACGTTCATGTTCTGTTTGGACCACATCTTATTTATACAGTATGTTTACTTCTATTTGCCTCATTTATTAGTCTGCATTTGCCTGCATTTTGCAGTTTCTATTTCTCACGTTTTGGATGTTTTAGCCTATTTGTGTAAAATTAACGTGAAATTAAAACGATTTAGCTATTTTATCAAATCATATGCACGATTTAGGTTATAAATTTAAATTTAACTGGCATCATAAAGATAACTGGCAAGTGAACGTGTTTTGCTTTTATGTAGGCTAGCTTTTAGGCTATTTTTCTATTTTCTTGACGCAACAACAATTGAAAAAGAAATCCAAAATGCTGACATTTTCATAGCAATAAAATATTTGCCTTCTGATGAATTCGAAAAATGAAATCTAACATGATTTATTAGAAATGATGTGTGAGGCTCTGTAGATTCTGCATGTATTTAAAAAATGAGACAACTTGGTTTATTTCTCTTAATTTAAAAAGCTAAATAGATCGCTACTGATAGGCTACAGAGATGGGTAGTCGCCAGTTGGTTACAGGTTGCATTCAAACGAAAATAATAAGACATAAATTGTTTATAGGCTGTATTTGATACATCTTAACAAATATACTATTGCTGTTTATGCTTGCTGATCATATTTGTTATTTGCTATAGCCTATATTTGTTATCATGCTATAAAATCTTTTGTAGCCTACATTTCTATCACCACAGCTAAAGTAGCCTAAATGAACGGACGTAAAACCCTCACAAATAATAATTTAGCCTATTTGGCTTTAAACCATCCAACTGCAGCGAATATTATAACGAAAATATGCCTTTAAATGGATATTTAGGTTTCAGTCACTCGGAAATGAGTCTGCATCCCCCTCCCAATCACAAACCGTATTTGCGTTTAGAAAATCACTGGGTTTATTTGGCTCACTCTGATTGGTTGGAACGAATATCAGTGGGTCCGTGAATGATCTCATTGCCTTCATTTACTATTTTCCGGTTTTTAATTGGGTCCTGCAGTGTATAGAACGCACACAGTCCAGCCGAAGAGGCGCAGTAAACAAAAGGCGCTTTACTTTGATGCGAGGGAAACTGTGAGAACCGGTAGCCTGTGTTTTAATCCCGTTGACCCTGTGTGGTGTTAATTGAGGCTGACGTCACATAATACCTCGGTGAAGGAAAATTAAGATGCGCGCGCACTAATGAGGGCGCCTGCCTCTAGCACAGACATGATTAAGTTCCACACCACGAACTGTATGGCCATGCAATTATGTCTAATATCAGAAGAATGAAAAATGTTGTTTTTCTGAAAAAAATGAAGCGGTATAGTTGGGTTATTCACCATTAGCGTTTAAAGAGCAACAGCGTTTTCCTTTTACGTAATATAAAATAATTCAATAATTAAGTTAGACTTAATGAACATTTGTTTAAAACAGAACCGACGATTTTTTTTAATTATTAAATTTTATTTTCTAATTATTGACATTTCCCTCCTTCCTTAAATATAAATTATTATTATTTGCTCTGTATTTTTAATATGAAACAAATAAACATCGACTTAATGATGCACCAAAACAGAATTGAATAGCCTATAAATAGACAAAGTATACTACACTGAGGGGGCTGATGCAGTCTAACCGTGCATGTAAACGGTCAGTGTTGGACTTGCCTTCACACAATTATTTATTTATCAATCTAATTGTATTGTATAATATTTATAGCCTATATCATTTCCGTTTCCCAAGACCACAGTCTATAGGGCAGTATTAACTTTTGAGGTCACTATACAGTGATGGAGGCACATCGATTAGTGTCTCTGTCTGATCTGATTACTCACTTTTATGTGTCACTGCTAAAAGTTGTTGTCCGCCAAGGTATTAACCCTTTCATCCCCGCGAGTCGCTATCACGGTTACTACAGAAAAGAAACCAGTAGTGCTTTGTGGTTTCCCAGACACACCCTGCGGCTGCGCGAGGATTCGCTTCATTACAATTTCAGGGTTTGTCACGTCAATGACAGCGTCTTAAACCGCTAATACATTGATCGTGAAGCTGTGTATACTGTAACACAACTAGGCCTTTAGCAGCTGTAATTAAACTCGTGATTAGAATTATATATGTGTGTGAGTTTTAGTTTAGAAAATGACAAAGGGGTGATTAAAAAGTCAGAGAATTTGGGAAGTGTGAGGTTTGAGTTTCCAAACAGTTTCTTAGCTATTAAGGCTTAATTGGCACACAGTTTAGGCTAATGTATTTCTTCTTTTTTTTCAAGAAGTTGGCTCCAAGTCAGCAAAATTCTACATCCACTATCATTATTAGATAATGATTAGCAAGTAACTGCATTTACAGGTTGGCTGTACTTGAAAATAATTACACACAGTAGAGAAATGGCCTGTTGATATATGTTGCTTATCCGTGTCTATTTCCTGTTGCATCAATTGCATGTATTTGTGTGTATGTATGTGTGTGTGCACCTATTACTTAACCATATTTTGGGAACATATTTGTACCTAGAAGTAAAAAAAAAAAGTAATTATTTTATCACAAAGTTTTTATAAAATTGCAAAAATTCTGAAAGTTTTCTGTTAGGGATAAATTGAGTTTGTGGATTAGGGTTAGGTATTTACATAAAAACAATTGAAGTTTATGCAATGCCCCCATTTAGATAGCTAAGTAAACTGTTGTGTGTGTGTGTGTACCTACTTAACCATATTTTGGGGACACATTTGTACCAAAACGTCAGCAAAATCGCCAAAAACCTCCATTTGGGGATGTCCTCGTTTGTAAAACTGGTATAAAAATAAAGTAAACAAAGTTTTTTTGACATTGTAAAAATGCAGAAAGTTTTCTGTGAGGGTTAGGGATAGAGGTGGGTTTAGGTTAAACAGTGTATAACTGTCTGTATATAAAAACAATAGAAGTCTATGTAATGTCCCCATTTAGATTGCTAAGTAAACGTGTGTGTGTGTGTTAATGTGTTAAACAATGGTTTTCCCTCCAGACAGTGAAAATCATCCTTATCTATCAGGTGCTTTCCTGGGAAATTTAGTTTTGTCATTGCCTATTTTGCTGATTGTGTGTTTCACTTCTTTATTTTTTATTTATTTATTTATTGATGCATCTTCATGCATTATTCTTAAAAATCCAAGACTGCATGAACTTAAGAAACTTTCCATCTTCCACCAGTTCTGCCAGTTCAAAAAAGTCACATTCTCTGACATTGATGTTGCTTTACCTTAATGTACATGAAACAGAATAAATCCAATAATTTTTCTCTACATTTGAAATCTGTGCATGTAAGCTCATGCAACAGTTTTTTAATTCGATAGCGTGACTCGTTTGAAAGAAACAATCCGATCTTACTGAACATGGCCTCAAATATCTTTCATTCGTGTCTAGACATCCCTCTTTTCACAAAGTCTCTAATGTCTCGGCCTGTCGTCGTTTCTCTCCCCACGAGGCTAAATGATAGTTCACTTTTTATCCATCCTTGACACATACCATCAGTTACCACCCACTTCCCAGGATGCTCATGTATGATGTTACCCACTGCCATCAGGGAGCCCCAAAACTCTGTATCAGACAGAACTGGGGGTGCATGGGTATTGCAATTAGCATGAGAAAGCATCCATCTTAGTGTGCTTATTTGACCTTTCACCCCTACTCTTTGTGCTTCTCAGACAGAAAACTGGTGTGTATATGCAGTGCCCTACATCCATTCATGTTGTATGGTGATGTGTTTGTCTGAAATATCTTAACAGCATTGGACATTAGTATGAAACAATGAGTTTTAAGTAAAGTGTTAGTGTGCATGTAACAGTTTGATCCCCCCCCCCCATCCCTTCATAAACACATGCACACATGCACAAGGGGCAACACGCTCCCACACTCTTTCCCAGACAGTCTGGAGGACTCCATCTCATTTGCTTTTCTTCTGCTCTCCTCTCTGTCTGCTCCCCCTTTTCACGTCTGTGCTTTAATTAAGGGTTCCAACCCCCTAAAAGTGTCATTGTGGAGTGCAGCCAGTGTTCAGGCCCTCTGTTTTATGTGTGTTCCTGTCTGTCTTCCGCTTAATCCCCAGACCATATGTGATATATTAGAG